ACCAGGTAAAATGCGTATTTTCGTGACATTTTCTGTCACGCAAAAATAACTGGCGTGACTTCAAATTCTTCAGCAAATGCGTGACAAATACGCAAATTGCGGGACAGTTGACAGGCCTGAAGTTGGCCAACCTTTTTAAAAAGCTGCAATTATAATGAAAATTGATTATGAGTTTTCTTATGTTAGGAATGCTTTGAAGTTTATCTAGTGAAAATTTCATGAAAAATTATTTCGGTTTCCCGATATTGGACCGAATTCGGTCCAGATGCTTCGGTTCGGGACAAGGGGCAGAAAGGGTTAATATTGGAACGGTATCGGTACATAAATTACTCACCTAGAAATGCGTGAAAGCAAGTTTAAATGGTGAAAAACAACTCAAAAATCCACTCTCAATCAAATTATTTTTGCTTACCTCATACCTCGATTACACTTCCTATCAACGATAAGTGTGCGTGCTGGACCCGGGATCTTAGGTTGTTGGTAAATACTTCAGCTTTCTTACAGTATAGTTGATGGAAAGCAGGAGAAAAACAAGATGGTGTGTCGTCTAAGTGAAACTCAAGTACTGTTTTTGATAGGTGTGTTTTATCTGTGTTTTAATTCCTGAACATAATTTATTTTTAAATTCTATTTTTATTTTAAAAAAATGAACTGAAACTGCCCCGACAAATGCCATCAACGAGACAAGGGCAAAAGTTGAGGCTGAAATAGCTGAAGCCAAATCTTTAGCTATAACCACGGACGGATGGACCTCCAATGCTACTATTGGGTTTGAAACCATTACTGCCCATTTTATTGTAAGATGGTGTATAGTTAGCAGAGTCTTACAAACCAAGTCATGCAAAGGTGCCCATACAGGTGAGAACCTCGGAAACAATATTGCGGATGCAATTACAACGTGCGGCATTAGGATGGGAACATTACCAGTTATTGGTACAATTAATAATGCCAGTAATATGTTAGTTGCTGGCAAAGTAGCAGGACTAGATCTACATTTAGGCTGCTTTGCCAATACGCAGAACTTATCATCAAAGAAAGGATTTGCTGTTCCTAGTGTCATGAAACTTACCACAAAAGTAAGGAACATAGTTTCATTTTTTCACCATTCCGCTACCGCTAATGGTAATGGACCTGCAGATACCCAGGAGCAACTTCCCTCACTACCAAACCTGATACAAGAAGCAGGCAAGAACCTTAAGGACAGGGTGCATGTTTGGAAATTTTCTGCATTCCTCAATTGAGTCACATGTTATTTTTCAAACAAGAATAACTCCTTCCCCACATTGTCTACATCTTCCAAGTTTGCACAAAGAGTGCACTTATGTGCCTTAAATACTAGTATTAGCAGGGGATATATATAATATAGCAACGGGCAAATGTCCCGCCTCTCTGAAGATAACGTTGACATGTTAATTTGCCTTGCTAAAAATCTTGTAGTGCCAAAATCTAGAGGCTTTGGAGTCTTTGAGTGTTCACTGAAACATGTTTTGATATGTTAATTTTAAAGTGTTAATGTTTGATTAGCAATTAAGTTGCTAAATGACTGTTAATGTCTCATAATTCTGTTCATAAATTTCAGTTGATACAATATAAAGGGTTAATATGAATGAAAACAATACTTTTAGTATTTTTAATGATTTTTTGATGCGTTCTGTCCCGTCCCGAACGTACAGTGTCCCGAGACCATTTGTACTGTTCTGTACTGTACTGAAATAATTTTGGAACGTGACACCTCTAATCATTTCTAGGCATTAAGACATCAAGATCAAAGTGTGAATGCTCATTATTATACCAGCGCTAGACCTGCAGTGTTTACATTTACCACTTAGCGCCAGTGTGAGGTTTTAGCTGCCCTATTAATCCATCATTTAGCAGGGTCACTAACACTGGTGATGAGAAGATACAGACCCTGTTACACTTGGACTGTTTATCCTGTAAAAGGGCAATCTCCAGCAACAAAAGTGCTAGTGTAACGAGGGCATATGTTATCTAATAGTGTTTTCTGTTTTTTCAGATATTTCAGATTCAATACTTCACAATTGCTAAAGGTTTACAAAAGATGTTATCGATTCAGTGCATTAGTGAATTCAACATCTAAATGAATGTGAAATTGCACATCGTGATTTTATCACAAAATAAATAAAATTATAGTAATGAGGATACCTTTTAGGTATTTACTTTTGCTCGGCTTCCACTTTGTTGCTAGGGTACTAGAGACAAGTTTAAAACAAAAACAATTTGTTGATATGCTAAGCTGAAAAATGCTGCTATAATGGAAACTCCACGGAGAAGCTTGTTATTAAGAACAGAAAATTTATTTTAGGAGATGCTCAAGTAGAACATAATTTAGTCAGTCTATATTGTGATGATATAAATGAGTCTGAAGATACAATTAGTCAGTAAGCACTAAAACCTGCTTGAAACTGCCAAAATATGTAAGCAATGATTCAGATGCAATTACAACAATGCATAAGAATATGTCAATATGTTATTCATAATACAAGCTTTGCCAGCCACCATAACGAACTACTGTAAAACCTGAGTAAATCGACACCATTCTATAGAGAACCCCTATCAACAGTGAACATCAACACAAATGACTTGAGGTTTCTGGGAGAGAATGATTCTTTGCCTCTTCAGTTGATGCTCCTTCTGATCTGCCATTTTGTTTGCATATAAACCATAAACAGGGGTGGATCTGGGAACCAACAAGGGAGGCCCAAACTTCAGATCTGAGAAAAACATTTTGGGCCTAAAATTAAATAAAAATAAGGCCTTATAAGACCCATTGATGACCAAAAAGGCACACTTTTTGGGGCCTTGAGGCCTTTTTTCTGTGCCAATTGTTACTATCAAGTCATCATGATAAACCATGGCATCTTATTTCATGGCTAGAAGGTTGAAAATGTTTTGAAAGAATATAAAGCATTTTACAATAAGATACAATAGTCCTGAGGGTACTGGCCCAACCTGAAATTGGTAAATATTTGTTTGTGACCCGAGCCTTCAAATCCAAGGTTTGGGTTGACTTTGAGCCAATGTGACACCTCTATTCAATATACACAGGTTTTACTGTATATATAGATTATATAAAAAGCTATATTTTGTTTGAACATACAGATTAACTGATAAATTGAGAGCTTCACAATATTCTTAAGGTGTGTTTTTGTAACTATTAAAATCATATTGGCCGTTTCCTTTCTATGTACATGTAGGAGCATGACAACGAGTATTAAAGATCACAATAGAATGTACATGTAAAGGGAATATGACAGCAGAAAATGAATTGAAATTGTAGGATATTATACTACTAGTATTCAATTTGATCCCTGTGATCAATGGATTCAATTAACTCATTATAATGATAGTTATATAAAGGATAAGATTGAATTAAATTATTTCAATTATTGCATTCAAAAGATATTTAAGACTCAACAGCATCTGGAACATAAACCAAACATTACTCAATCAGAAAAAAGAATAAAAAATGCTGAATTCCAGCTTTACAGTGAATGAGACATTTCGCTATGAGGAGAAATTTGTTGGATATGAAAATAAAACTGTATTAATTATTGAAATCTTCATGGCATTATGGATAATCATAGGTATTCACTTTTACATTAATCGTTTTGTTATATATCATTCAAGTATTTAACATAGTACAAAGAAAATATTGAGTACACACAGGGTTTTGTTTGTGGCTTTGCCTTCATTGATTGCAACGAACACCTAAATTGGGAATTCCCCTTTAATTATGACGTTGGCCTTAACAGTGTTTTCAGTAGGCTTGTCCAAGATTGCGTCCCCTTAAAAAACTATGTCCTTTGAAAAAATGTTTCCGGGAATTCAAAGTCACGTTTTTACACTGGACGAAATAAAATTGATGAAATTTTGTATCGCTTTTGCTATTTATCAGTCTAAATCCGCGTTCTAGCGAGTCTAGTATGTCATTGAATGATACAGATACGATCACTTGTGAGGTATAACTTATATTCAACCACTAAAAACACATTTTCACATTTCAAAGCAATTGCCATTGATTTTGCTTTAGTTTATGGGCAATCTGCGCGAGGTTCAATTTTTTGGTTCAGTTTCTTGCTCATACGTGCATTCTTAAATAATGATCACGTGATCGCACTTGACCAATTGAAAATGATTTGAATCAGGTCTTCAGCTACCGGCCAATCATAGGACTCGTACTGATTACTGCTCGGAAATAAAGTACTGGATAACGTTTTGTCCTATCACATGCCTTGTACTATTTCTATCAGAAATCAACTTCCAGAAATAGAATTTGCCTTCAAATATTCAGTGGATTCTGACGAAATAAAGAGACTGAATGAATTAGAAACATCTGAAGCGATGATGGTCTCAGATCTCACTAAAATATGCTAGTTTTCCAGTTGCGTCCACAAAACGCAATCACTTTTTATTTCCGGGTCTAAGGGATATATTTTGCGCATATGGTAATGTAAGGACAGCATTATTGAAAACATAGCGTTAAGTAATCTGAACATGGAATCAGGAAGTCTAAGATGTGATTCAAATACAGTGTCTTATTAAACTTATGTAGCCTTTAAAGTATTAATTCATACCAAATATAATATCTACATCCTCTTTTCAGGTAATTCACTCGTAATTGCAGCGTATTGGAAATATGAACGTCTACAAACAGTTCCTAACTTCTTTGTGATTCAACTTGCAATAGCAGATCTATGTGTTGGTGCATCTATAGTATACTTGGTAGTGCATACTAATGGTTTTGTACACGAAAATGCTGCAAAAAGCATTCTCCTCTGCATCTTATCTCAATCATTGTTAACTCTACCAATAATGATGTCACTGTTGTTCTTGCTTGTTATCACAATTGACAGATACGTGGCAATCTTTTATCCCCTAAAATACCCAAGTATTATGACAAAACAGCGCATGCGAGCATTGACAGTGGGCTTATGGATAGGGACAATGCTATTCATAGCCATTTCCATAGTGGATTCTATCTTGTATAATACCAGTACCTTACAAAATGACATTTGCCTTGGTGATGAAGGTAATATGGAGACAAGAATCATGGGATACACATTTCTGCCTTTATTTCTTGTTGTTATGATTATAATAATAGCACTATATATCCAGATACTTTGGACAGTAAGGAAACAACTAGACCAACATAATAGCAACAATTCAACAAATTTACAAAATAACATAAAATTAATCAAAACGGCAGTTTTAGTCATTGGACTGTTCATCGTATGCTGGGCACCATTTGTCGTTCTTGCTTCAGGTTTCGCTTTGAACCTCTTCAGCACAAATCAGAAACAAAATATGATTATTCCTTATATGGTACTTGTCCACATTGCTGTGATGAATTCAGGCATGAATTTTATAATTTATCCAGTGAGATCTAAAGATTTTAGAGATGGTCTCAAAACTGTACTTTGTTGTAAAGAGAGATGTACAGTAACACCTTCTTTAGTTAAGGGACCAACTACAGGGATAGCTACAGCTACACAAAGAGATTAGAACAAGAAATTGGAATAATTTAGGGTCAGGGGCAGGTCTGTCAACTTGGGAACCCCTAACATGAGTGACTTACAAATGTTGAACACCTTTCCTCAAATTTTGGACACCTTGGCCCAAATCTGAACACCCTGGCCAACATTTTGAGCACCTTGGTTCAAATTTTATTGCATATAAACAACTTTTTTGGGGTTGTTGAGTTTGCTGAGAGGGCTGCAGCGCCAGCACGTTCAAACTAGGCGAGTAGGTGGCGTAGCCACGAGGTTGCGAGTTCGAGACGTGTGTGCTCCTTGTGTTTATTCATTTATGATCACTGTCTGAGCTTTCAGTTGCAGAGGCATTAACCCGCTATGGGTTCTCAAGGACAGTTGAGCAGTGTGTGTGTGTGTAGAAAATGTCTGTTGTGCTTCCTTTGGTGTGTTTGAGCGTTAGCATCAGCTGCCTATAGTCAAATCAACTAACAAAACAACATTTTTGGGGTTGTCGAGTTATCCGAGAGGGCTTCAGCGCCAGCGAGTAGGTGCTGTAGCCACAAGGTTGCGGGTTCGAGATGCATGTGCTCCTTGTGTCTTGGACACCTCAAAATTTTCGCGCTCACTACACCCAGGTTTTTCCAGCAAATGCGTGACAAATATGCAAATTGCGGGACAGTTGGACGGCCTGCAGGGGTAAGGAGCAGAAAGACATTAGATTGCACAACATATCTTATCTTTACTTGACTATACATAATTTATATTATTCAATTTTAACTAATACATTAAACTCTGACTGTTAATTTAATAAATGATATATTAAATGTTGACCAGTGAATTGAAAAAGTTATTAGGAAAAAGAGGTGTACCACTTGTTGATTATTTTTGCAGTTTCCCACTGTCATTAGTCATTTCTAGGCATTAAGACATCAAGATCAAAGTGTGCATGCTCATTATCACACCTATGGTAGTCCTGCAGTGTTTACATTTACCACTTAGCGCCAGTGCAAGGTTTTAGCTGCCGTATTAATCCGTCTTTTTAGCAGGGTCACTTACACCAGTGATAAGAAGATACAGACCCTGTTACACTTGGACTGTTTATCCTGTGAAAGGGCAATCTCCAGCGATAAAAGTGCTTGTGTAACTAGGGCATATCTTATTGAATATAGTGTTTTTCTGTTTTTCAGATATTTCAGATACAATACCATACAATTGCTAAAGTTTTACAAAAGTTATTGATTCAGTCATTAGTGAATTTAACATCTAAATGAATGTGAAATTGCACATCATGATTTTATCATATATACAAAATAAATATAAATAACATTATTGTAATGGGGATACCTTTTAAGTATTTACTTTTGCTGGGGTTCCACTTTGTTGCTAGGATACGAGAGACAAGTTTAAAACAAAAACAATTTGTTGATATTTCATCAATAATCAATCCAAATTTAAGTGTAGAAGCTGGAAAATGTTGTTATAATGGTAAATTCCAGCTCATTATTAAAAACAGAAAATTTATTTTAAGAGATGCTGAAGTAGAACTTAATTTAGTCAGTCTACATAGTGATGATATAAATGAGTCCGAATATACAATTAGTGAAACTGCCAAAATTTGTACAGTGAACCCCTATCAACAGTGAACATCAACACAAATGACTTGAGGTTTCTGGGAGAGAATGATTCTTTGCCTCTTCAGTTGATTCTCCTTCTGATCTGCCATTTTGTTTGCATATAAACCATAAACCCACTTTTTCTGTGCCAATTGTTACTATCAAGTCATCATTTAAACCTTGGCATCACATTTATTCTCAGCCTTGAGATGTTTCAGGTGAAACAGAAATATGTTATGAGTTTCATAATGTTATCAAGTGAATCTACTGCATGAATATATGGCACAATTATAAGCCTGTTTTACTTCATATTATGTTTCATTAAAGGAGAAATATTAGAAACTTAACATATAATCGCATAATTAAGCACATAATCCCATAATCATTCATGAAGAACTATAAATGTTCATGAATGTAGCGGGTTGTCCAAAAGTTTCTGTTTGTACTGTAATTTATATGCATAAAGGAAATGGCTAGAAGGTTGAAAATGTTTTGAAAGAATATAAAGCATTTTACAATATAAGATATGATAGTCCTTAGGGTACTGGCCCAACCTGAAATTGGTAAATATTTGTTTGTGACCCCAGCCTTCAAATCCAAGGTTTGGGTTGACTTTGAGCGAAAGTGACACCTCTATTCAATATACACAGGTTTTACTGTATATATAGATTATATAAAAAGCTATATTTTGTTTGAACAGACAGATTAACTGATAAATTGAGAGCTTCAGAATATTCCTAGACAACAAGTATTAAAGATCACAGTAGAATGTAAAGAGAATATGGAAGAAGAAAATGAATCTGAAATTATAGGATATTATACTACTAGTATTTAATCTGATCCCTGTGATCAATGGATTTGATTAACTCATTATAATGATAGTTATATAAAGCATAAGATATAATTAAATTATTTCACTTATTGCATTCAATAAATGCCTAAGACTAAACAGCATAAATTGCTCAATCAGAAAAAAGAATAAAATATGGTGAATTCCAGCTTTACAGTGAATGAGACATTTCGCTATGAGGAGAATTATGTTGGATATGCAAATAAAACTGTATTAATAATTGAAATCTTCATGGTATTATGGATAATCATAGGTATTCACTTTTACAACATTCGTTTTGTTATATTTATATATTATTCAAGTATTTTATATAGTTCAAAGAAAATATAGAATACACACAGGGTTTTGTTAAAAGATGACAAGTTCCCATGTTTGTGACTTTGCTTTCATTGATAGTAACAAACACCTAAATAAGAAATTCCCCTTTAATTATGACATTGGCCTTAAGTAATCTTAACATGGGATCCGGAAATCTAAGATGCGAACTTATGTGACCTTTAAAGTATTAATTCATAAGAAATATATTATCTACATCCTCTTTTCAGGTAATTCATTCGTAATTGCAGCGTATTGGAAATATGAACGTCTACAAACAGTTCCTAACTTCTTTGTGATTCAACTCGCAATAGCAGATCTATGTGTTGGTGCATCTATGGTATACTTGGTAGTGCTTACCAGTGGTTTTGTAACTGTGTCACATGAAAATGCTGCAAAAAGCATTCTTCTCTGCATCTTATCTCAATCATTGTTAACTCTACCAATAATGATGTCACTGTTGTTCTTGCTTGTTATCACAATTGACAGATACGTGGCAATCTTTTATCCCCTAAAATACCCAAGTATTATGACTAAACAGCGTATGCGAGCATTGACAGGAGGCTTATGGATAGGGACAATGCTATTCATAGCCATTTCCATAGTGGATTCTATTTTGTATAATACCAGTACCTTACAAAATGACATTTGCATTGGCGATAAAGGTGATATTGATACAAGAATTATGGGATACACATATCTGCCCCTATTTCTCGTTATTGTAATTATAATAGTAATGCTATATATCCGGATATTATGGACTGTTAGGAAACAACTGGACCAACATGACAGCAACGCCTCAACAAACTTACAAAAGAATATTAAATTAATCAAAACAGCAGTTTTAGTTGTTGGACTGTTCATGATATGCTGGGCACCATTTATCGTAATTGCTTCCGGTTACTCTTTGAACTTTTTCAGCGAATACCAGAAGCAAAATATGTTTATTCCTTATATGGTATTCTACCACATTGCTGTTATGAATTCAGGCATGAATTTTATTGTTTATCCAGTGAGATCTAAAGATTTTAGAGATGGTCTGAAAACTGTGCTTTGTTGTAAAGAGAGGTGTAGAGTAACACCTTCTTTAATGAACACTACAGGGACTGGCTAAGTGTTCAATATGTCAAAATGAAAGGTGTTTTCAGGATATAATTATTAACAGCTTCAGATTAAAATCAGTGGTTTCCAATGATGTATTAAAAAGGTCTCCGCTGCGCTGCAAAAATTCTGCACAAATTATTTTTTAACTTGAAATAATTCTTCATCTTGGACAAAATAAATCACTCCATGCATGCAATAGCCAAATTAATTATAATTTTGTGTGCATTTTGTTGTTCATTAAAAAAATATAAAAATATTTCTTGTAGAAAAACATATTGTCTTTATAACATTAGTGTTTTTTAACTTCTGTTTCAGATATTTAAGATACAAAAGTTTTGAATTAGGTGTTACTGAATCAATGTATTAGTGAATTCAACATGCATGTTAATAAATGTGAAATTGTATGTAGTGATTTTAAAACATATTAATAATAAACAAGGCATTAACATGACAAATAATTCTGGTGGTAAAACTATTGTACATGTAATGGGAATACCTTTTAAGTATTTACAATTGTTTGACTTCCACTTTGTTGCTAGGAAACTAGATGAGTTCCCTGAAAACAATAACAATCTGATGGCATATTAATGGTATCTTCATCAATAATCAAGTCAAATTAAAGTGTTTAAGCCGATGGAATTTGTTTCCAGAAACTGGCAACTCCACAGAGTAGCTAATCCCAAAGAACAGAAAATGTATTTCAAGAGCAGGGTTCGAACTGAACTTTTCTGGTAGTGAAAATAGCTATCTGAGATTTTTTCTAAGTTGCTTATTATAGAGTTTGGTATTCAAGCGCCATTTTCACAGCTTTCATTCCTAGCATTATTTAACTTCAAGCATAAAAATAAATAAATAAAATAAATAAAAAATAAAAAGTGTAGGTAATCCACAAATGACATCCATCATATGGAAAAGGTAATTTTCTTTGGAACAAGGTTACATCACCGCATGGTGCCTTGCATGGCTTATTCATGCAGCCTTCTAGACTGCTTGGCCAACTTGACAACCCCCAAAAGGATGTTTTATCAGCCTATCTGACTCGAAGGAATAGGTGTTTACACTCAAACACACCAGAGGAAACATCCATAACAATTAGCTACAGTGCTGGTATATATTAATTGATCAGTCGTTTAATTGGCATATTTTCTTGAATTTTAACATTTAATATCCCAAACTCCCACAAACTGCAGAAAAGTATACACCATAAATAATATTTACCAAAATGAGTGTCTCCAAGGCTTCACACCAGCGTATGCATAATGCATTTGTCACGAGTTTGAGCCAAAATGAAGTAGGCTAAGGGTAGTCTCTGCCAGGTTTGTTTATTGTGGTAAGCTTGTAAGTGCTCAGAAGCAAATAATTCATGTGCACAAAATGATCATATAATCTGATTGGTTTAAACTTTGCTGGACATGCGCGCAATGTGTGCCATGTTTTTTTCCAGTGATTTTGTTTCGTTTCATGGAGTTTGCGTTTCAGTGTAACTTCCGCAAAAATGGTGGACCATGGACAGAATTGACAGGTAAAATCACTTTGAAATTTCAAGAGAACCTTTTACCTGATAATAGCAAAACTTTTGTTTCTATGTGCATAATCTATCAGATAAGAGTCTCAGGGGTAGGTAGGCAAATTCATCTTCGTAGGAGCACTCTGTTTAGTTTGAAAACGCACCCTTTATTATTATTATTATATATCAGCACTGTAGACTCACAGCAACAAGATACTAATGTATTTGTGATTTACACTTTACCTTTGGTTAGAATGTAATAAAGCCATACTTTGAGAAGATCTTATAATCATGGTCATTTTGGATGTTCTGGTGTATTTTAAATGTTGATTCAATATTTGTTATCTAATAAATATAGGTTATCAAAAGAGATATTTTTTGATGACAGACAAGTGAACTGATAGATGAAGGGCTTTACTTTATTCCTGGAATATGTTTTTGTGGGATAGTCATCTTTCTATGTATGAGCATAACATATCAAGTACAAGTATTAAAGATCATAATGGAATGTAAAGGGAATACGGCTGCAGAAACTGAAGTGAATAAGGTATTGATAACAGAATTCTCTGTGTAAACTTAATCGAGTTGAGTGAACTTGAAATTAGAATAAAGCAAACAAAAAACAGAAGCAATTGACTGAATAAAACATGGACACGAATATAAAAAATTAACATAAAAGTAGACTTAAAATAGAATAAAGCAAACAAACAAAAAACATATAAGCAATTACAATAATTGAATAATACATGAACAAAAAATATATATCAGAAAATTGGGAAATAAACAGAAAAGTGATCTGACACTCATTATTTAAGGATGAAGAAAAATATACATATAAAGTTTTGCTGAACTACAGTATCTAAGAGAACTATTAAACACGAGAGGCCTGTCATCAATGGATTCATGTTAATTCATAATAATAAAGACAAAATCAGCCTTTGGAACTTAAACCAAAAATTACTCAATTAGAAAACACAATAAAAACATGGAGAATTCTAGCTTCAATGTGTCATCAATGGATTCATGTTAATTCATAATAATAAAGACAAAATCAGCCTTTGGAACTTAAACCAAAAATTACTCAATTAGAAAACACAATAAAAACATGGAGAATTCTAGCTTCAATGTGTCATCAATGGATTCATGTTAATTCATAATAATAAAGACAAAATCAGCCTTTGGAACTTAAACCAAAAATTACTCAATTAGAAAACACAATAAAAACATGGAGAATTCTAGCTTTGCAGCAAATGAGTCATTTCGCTATGATGCGATGTTTGCTGCATATACAAATAAAGCTGTATTAATTATCAATATCTTAACGGTGTTATGGATATCCACAGGTATTCATTTTATCAACATTCATCATTTTGTCATATTCACACCGGAATAGCCTGAACATGGTAAAGTCAGATACCGTTGTCACAAATGGCGGACATAACCGTCGCTTCAATTAGATTTGCATAAACTGTATGTTTAATAGGGCACCTAGACTAAATTCCTTTGGAACAACAATCAATCAAAGTGTCTTAATACTCATTGTACAGTTAATAATGTTCTACCATCGAAATAAAGTCTTTAATTTAACCGATCAAAATGAGATACGGGACAACGGACACTGTAATTACCATATGCCTTTGTCTTTCTAAATTACTCAAAATCAGATTCCGTTGTCATTGACGATATCGAAGACGCTATATTGTGGCGATTCACGACCTAATTTGATCGAAAATGGGATTTCATATGATACATTATCACAAGAGCTTAATGCATGCACAGAATTAGCAACGATAACATCCCATGAAATGAGGATCAAGTGATTAAACAGTTGATGCGACGGTTATGTCCGCCATTTGTGACAACGGTATCTGACTTTACCGTAGTCAGGCTATTCCGGTGTGATATTCAAACATTATTTAAATATTGTAAAAATATGGAAGTATTTATGTTAGTGACTTTGCCTAAATACCAAATTGATGTTCAATTGTGACTTTGGCCTCTAGTAATCTAGAGTATCAGGAAGTCACAAGTGTGATTCACAGAAAAAATATTTTTTAACCATTTTATTGTCTCTAAAGTGCAATGTGCCTTAAATACAAGATCAGGGAGTGTAAGGATTATGACTCACTTATGTCTAATTTAGTATCTGACCTTTCAGGTTACCTTGAAAAGAAATACGACCTTGAACTTATGTGACCTCAAAATTTTGATACATACCAAATGTTTACACCCTCTTTTCAGGTAATTCACTCGTGATAGCAGCATATTGGAAATATGAACGTCTCCAAACAGTTCCCAACTTCTTTGTGATTCAACTCGCCATAGCGGATCTATGTGTTGGTGTATCGATGGTGTACCTGATAGCGCTTAGTAGTTTTGTGTCGTTAGAATTTTCTGCAAACAGCATTCTCCTCTGCATCTTATCTCAATCATTGTTAACTTTACCAACACTGATGTCACTATTGTTCTTGCTTGTAATCACAATTGACCGATACGTGGCAATAATTTATCCCCTAAAATACCCAAGTATTATGACAAGACGGCGTATGCGAGCTTTGACAGGAGGCTTATGGATAGGGACAATGTTATATATAGGTATTTCCATAACCGATTCCATATTGTACAATACCAGTGTATTGCAGAATAACATTTGCATTGGGGATAAAGGTGATATTGACCCAAGAATCATGGGATATACATATCTGCCTTTATTTCTCGTTGTTGTAATTATCATAGTAGCGCTTTATGTCCGAATACTATGGACAGTTAGAAAACAACTAGACCAACATAATAGCAACGATTTGACAAACTTACAAAAGAATATAAAATTAATCAAAACGGCAATTTTAGTCGTTGGACTATTCATCATATGCTGGGCACCATATATCATACTTGCTTCTGGTTACGCGATGAACTTCTTTAGCGCACATCAGAAACAAAATATGTTTATTCTTTATATGGTATTCTACCACATCGCTGTGATGAATTCAGGCATGAATTTTATTGTTTATCCAGTGAGATCTAAAGATTTTAGAGATGGTCTAAAAACTGTACTCTGTTGTAAAGAGAGATCTACAGTGAACACTGCAGAGACTGCCTAAGTGTTCAGTATGTCAATATGAAAGGTGTTTTCTTGAGATACAATTATTAAAGGCCCCATATAAAGTTTTAACCAGTTTGGCTTATATTGTAGTCTAACCAAAGGATGAGTCTGGGAATGAGTCTGGGTATCGACTTAAAAAATATTGAAAATTGTAATGTCTGAAAAACCAACTAAATCACACATATTATTTAACTTCAATATCTTATCCTTCTTCTGAGATTACAGAAATATCAATTTGTATCACAATTATGAAGAATATTGGCATCAAAGACAATGCATATCACTTTGCTAGAATTGTAAAAAAATCAATGGCAAATATTAAATGAATTGTTTATACAAAAAGTTTGAAACATATCCTCTAAAACATTGCTTACTTTCTTTTTATAGACATTGAATGGTATTTCTGGATAAGTGAATTGGTGTTTATCTGTAATCAAGGGATAATATTTGATCACTCAAAGTTACTGAGCATCCAGTTTTGGCACTTCAATTGTGTTAGTGAAGTACACATATTTCAGTCAAATTCATGCTGAGCACAACATTTTGGTTTCAATTTTATAATCTCTATACATGACCGTGGTGATGAAGAGTCAGAATCAGTCAAAAAACCTGAACTGGAAAACTGTGCTCATTGTGAAAACTTTTTTTCTGAAATTTCTTACATCAAATGGCAGCCATCTTGTTTTTCCCCTTCAAATTAAACTGGCGGGATATTCAAAAATTGAAAAATATTTAATCCTTAATTATATTTCAAAAATATGATTTTCTTTTTCCTTCTTCATGGGTTTTAAGTTATTTCTTCTTTGTATGTCACACATGTTGCCATTGGTGTTTTTTCTAAGATAATGACTATTTTTGTTGTTGTTAAGATGCTTATTCTGACTCTCAGCAGGGGGTTAATTATGCATGCATCAAAACTCGTGAAAAAGTAAATATACTTATCAAATATAACTAGGACAGAAATAAAAACCATATTTCACATAAAGACTGAGGGACCAAAAGGACACATCCTTTTATCAAAATGTGATACTTTACTGTATTTTGTGTTTAGTGCGTTTAGTTTTGCACTTTTTCCTACTGCAGTAAAATTGCAAATAATAAGTGTATTTTATAGAAAAAACACTAGAAAACAGCAACTCCACAGAGTAGCAGATCCCAACAAACAAAACATGTTTTGATGTACATGAGCTATTTTGAAAATTTCTTCTTGAACAGAGCTCCTTTGTCTCTAGGTACCCGTATATAAAATTTGATCAAAATCTATCCACTTATATTTGAGTTACAAAAAATAATGTTTTTTTGCAAAAAAAACAGTGGCCATTTTAAAATTCAGCTTGGTTAAGTTATCGCCCAGATACACGAATGGGCGAACAAATGAATAGAAGGACAGACAGATGGATGGCTTCTCTATATCCCCCTCAAACTTTGTTTGGTGGGATAATTAACCCCTATTAGTCATTCCCTTTGCATATATTTGCATTTCATAACCACAGCTTACAATGGAATATATAGGACATTTGGCAGCAGAAACTAATTGGAGTCAGATAGTATACAAGAAATAACAGATTTCTCCAAAAATGAGTAACAATATATAAAATATACAAATATTTGGAATTTCAAAGAGAACATTTTAAGATTTTTTGTGTAATAGTTTAAGCATTTTTATGGTTTTTGATGGAGGATTTAGGAAGCCCATAGAAATATTGTAGGAGCATGTGAGGAGAGTCCTGCCCTATAGAAACTTAACAACAACATTAGGGACTTTAACCAAAAATCACTTGAAACAAAATCAAATAAAGACATGGAGAATTCCAGCTTTGCAGCAAATGAGACATTTAGATACACGTATGAGGACATGTATGAAGGATATACAAATGAAGCTGTATTAATTATTGAAATCTTAATGGTGTTATGGATATCAATAGGTAAACATTTCTACATTAATCAAAATTTGTTTATCGTGTTATCTGTAAAATGAAGCCCTCTGATTGGTCAGTTATTGTGCTGTACCAATCTGTATTGCTACTGAGATTGTCCCCGTTGATCATCTCCGTCGTAATACAGAAAATATTGGTACGGAGGGGACAATCTCAGTAGCAATACAGAGGATCACACGATAAAAACGTTATTGAATGATTTGAAGTGCAATACAGGATATATTCTGTCTCGATATTCTGTATTGGCACTCGACTTCGTCTCGTTCCAATACGGAATTTCTCGAGCAGAATATATCCTGTATTGCACTTCAAATCATTCAATAACTTATAGTATTATTAAAGTATAATACAGTCTAAATAATATTGAATATTTGCAATGTATCTGCTATGCGATTGACATTAGTTTCCATGTTTGTAACTTTAATGCCTTCATTTAAAGCAAAATTTGACTTTTAATTGTGATTTAGGCCTTCAGTATTCTTGACCTAAGGGATTTTGAGCCTACCAAATATTGCATTTTGATTCTTGACATTGTTTTGTTTTCACATTGAATTATGGCTTGGGATAGTTGGGGTTAGTTTTCCTTATGACTTGTGTATACTAAATGTTTTCTTTTTCTTGCTGGGTTCAACAATTTTTGGTCTATTCCATTGATTGACCTTGAACTAATGTGACCTCAGGAGTATCAATTCATACCAAATATTTACATCCTCTTTTCAGGTAATTCACTCGTAATTGCAGCGTATTGGAAATATGAACGTCTACAAACAGTAGCTAACTTCTTTGTGATTCAACTCGCTATAGCTGATCTATGCGTTGGTGCATCACTTGTCTATATGATGATGCTTTCTAGTTTTGTATTACCAGAAATTGGAGAAAAAAGCATCATTATCTGCATCACATCTCAAATATTACTAGTTCTACCGACACTGGTGTCACTTTTATTCCTGCTTGTCATCACAATTGACCGATACATGGCAATATTTTATCCACTTAAATATCCGAGTATTATGACAAAACGGCGTATGCAATATTTGGTGGCAGGCTTATGGATAGGGACAACACTATATATAGCTATTTCCACAATGGATTCTATATTGTACAATACCAGTACATCACAACATAACATTTGTGTTGGCGATAAAGGTAATATTGACCCAAGAATCATGGGATATACATATCTGCCTTTATTTCTAGTAATTGTAATATTAGTAGTAGTGCTATATATCAGGATTCTATGGACAGTTAAGAAACAACTGGACAAACATAATAGCAATGATTCAACAAATTTACAAAAGAATATACAATTAATCAAAACGGCAGTTTTAGTCATTGGACTGTTTGTCATATGCTGGGCACCATTTGTCGTTCTTGCTTCTGGTTACGAGATGAACTTCTTTAGCACAAATCAGAAACAAAATATGTTTATTCTTTATATGGTATTCTACCACATTGCTGTTATGAATTCAGGCATGAATTTTATTGTTTACCCAGTGAGATCTAAAGATTTTAGAGATGGTTTCAGAACAGTCCTCTATTGTAAAGAGAGATCTTCAGTGAACACTACAGGGCCTGACTGTTGTTAACCTCTTGACTACCTGGAGTGACAAGATTTCTCGTCACCTCAGAAATGACCTTGAAACCCAGAGTGACGAGAAAATTTTCAATTTTCATCCAATTTACACAAATTGTCTTTTTAAAATGTATAGAAATGATCTCTGCCGTCTAATTTTACTAAGTTGAACATCTGTAGTTGTATAGGTATGTAGTATAATGTCAAAAGGTGGCAAAAATGAAAAAAATCTCTGGTTTCAACCGATTTTAGAGCCTGGAAGAGGTTGACATATTAACAACAAATGAAAGGTGTTTTCATGAGATAAAATTATAAAAAATATAAGACATAAACAAAATTACACAACAAAGTAGCCCTCTCGTAATTAAGAAATATAGACCGAAGAGCAGGGGTAATATTGTCGAATACACCTCGCAGGGCTAGGCAAACGTTTTCTGTACCCCAAACCACCGAAGGGAGTCGAAAGCTTTTGTGCCTAGCCCTAAGGGGTGTATTTGACAATATTACACCTGCTCTGAGGTCTATATTACGATTCGAACATGAAAACTCACCAAAATGTTTCGAATATTCATTATGGTCCGCCATTACTACGGCCCGCCGTTATGACATCACACATTACACGTATTATCAGGGGTTTTGATCGCGAATATACCCCAGGTGAAATGTTGACTTTGTTCACAGTTTATAGAAGTCGTGAATACAGTCATGTTCGAATTTCAATTTATGCATGTACTTAGTAGCCAAACCTTGATCTCATTTTACCCCATCACTCATCAAGTAGGCTACTGATTTAACTGAACAGACAGGAAGGAAGGTTGTCCTACTGTCTGTCAATTCTGTTAACTATACACTTCAGAGTTTCGATGTATAATTGTGAAATACTAATAAAACAACTGAGTGTAAATAAAATTCTTCAATGTTTGTATAAAACAAAAATGTAACAGTTTGTTACAGATGCCAAATTTGGAATACCAAAGTCTAAATAACGGTCACAAAAAACATTAGTACAGTACATTTCTATGTTTTTTCAATTCTTGATAATTTGCACTGATATACCCCCTATTATGGGTATCCTGCCAACCCTGTAAATGTAACACTACTAGATAATTATACTAAATGAATAAAAACAATTGTGAATATGATAACATTCCTTATACAGGGTGACCGGAAAAAAAGGAGACCATTGAAATAGGCAATATCTCCTAAAATAGACTAGTGACATCAATGAAATTTTGCATACATCAGGACAGTTCTATGGAAATTTGTTCCTGAAAGTGTCAATACAAGCAGTCAACTGGTTCAGGAGCTATGATCATTTAAATAACATGCTCCAAATAGGCGCAATTGAGACCAACGCAGAGCTGGATACATTTGGCAAATACCCTTACATATTCCGACCTTGTTATGGCATTACATTTAGCATTTATTGCCACCTTTAGGTCAGCAATTGTCTCAGGATTGTTTTGGTACACATTGTCTTTCAAATTGCCCCACAAAAAGAAATCAGGTGGATTCAAATTTGAGGTGTATGGAGACGAAGCTTATCTGACCTATGGCTTCTGACTCAGTGGTCCCACTCAGTTACAGTATCATCCTAAGGAGGTTTTGGGCAGCCCTTGGTTTCCATATTGGATTTAATTGTGCCATATAGTGGTTTTAGTAACATGGCACTATGCCCAATACCTAAAGTGACTCTTAAGATTGGGTAAATCAGCACTTTGGCAACAGGATGATGAACCACATGTCAGATAACCCTTCATTGCCATTACAGCCTAGACTTGAATCCTGCTGATTTCTTTTTGTATGGATATTTGAAAGACAATCTATACCAAAACAATCCTCAGACTATTGTTGACCTAAAGAAGGCAATCACTGCTATATGTAATGCCATAATAATGCCATAGAGGGCAGAACATGTAAGGGTAGTTTGCCATATGAATCCAACTCTGCGTTGGTCTCAATTGTGCCTATTTGGAGCATGTTATGTAAATGATCATAGCTCCTGAACCAGTTGAATGCTTGTATTGAAACCTTCAGTAACAAATTTCCATATAACTGTTCCAGTGTATGCAAAATTTCATTGATGGCACTTGTCTAGTTTAGGAGAAATTGATTACTTCAATGGTCTCCTTTTTTTCCGATCACCCTGTATAATCATTTGCATTGAACGGACTACTTTTGCAGAATGAAGGACCCATGGTCCTGTGCTCACACAGTTTGGAACCTTCAGAGGACTGTATATCCTGACTTTCAAACAAAAATATTGATTTGGATTTGTAGTCTCGAACTTTGAGAAACTTAGATAGCACAGTTGTGTGACCTAGTTTGATGACCTTTGACCTTGAAAATTTTACTTAGTCAGAGCTCAGTAAGGTCTTTTTGTGATTAAGCTGACCAAAATTTACATCCAAAAATCAATTTGAAAAATCAACTTTTTTGACCTTTCGAAGGTCACTGAAGGTCAAATCCTAAAATGTCAGATTTGAACTCCTGGCAACTTGTAGATGATTTTCAAAAAAAATTGGTCAAATTGAAGCAAGTTGAAAAATAACTTATTTTTACTGTTTTTTGACATCAAATATCTCAAAAACGGTAAAAATTTGATGCTGACATATATTAAGCAATATGTAGGAATGCTTTAATCTAGTAATGATGTAATTCATTGCAAGAAATGATCAAGTATAAGGCAAACTTTGAGAAACTTGTCAATCACAAAACCTGCCATTGACTTTATACATGAGAAATTTCCTGAAAATGACTTAAGTCCTACTTTTTGTCAAATTTTATAGAGTAAACACCAAAAGCTGTAATTCCAAGAGCTTTTCAATCTTCAGAGGACATAAGTTGCAACAAATGATGTGTTTAATGTGTTTAAACTTTATTTGCATATACAGCAACTACTAAAAGTTATTTGAAAGTTCTACTTCAACAAAGTGTCTAGTATTTACAGAAAATTTGACTTTTTGACGTCAAAATCCGCAATTTCTCGGAAACCGGGCGAACTTGGGAAATGGCAATGATAGGTCAAATAGGCATTATGGATATGCATAAAATGAATGTGGCTATGACTCAATCCGAATAGCAGTTTTAATTTGTGCGGCCAATGTTGACGGACGGATGAACGGACGTCTTGTAATACCCTTATAAAAAATTCAACCTTGAAAGTCCGAATTTAAACCGTTGCACAATCATTGTACAATCATTGATCCGATCATTTATGCAACCATGCCAACCATTACGATGCAACCATTACAATTTTGGTTGTAAACTCATTGAAAATGTTTCAATCATATGTAACCATTGTAAACGCTTGACAATTTTGGTTGCATTTCTTGCAACCATTTCAATCGAATGCAACCCTTTAAAACTATGGCAATATTATCTCAATACAACATAAAATAATTATCTTGCTCTTTAAAAAATATATTTCAAATGTATGTATTTCATGCATACATGTCAGAATTAAAATGGTTTGATCAAAAAGATATTTAAAGTACTGAAATAGTTTAGTAAACTTGTCTTGTGAATGAAAATATATTGAACCTAACTTGAATTTTCATCTAACTTTGACGGATGGTGATTGTCCCACTCACATGTATATTATCTAGATAACAGCAATGCTAAGGCATAGCAAATCCCCTCGCTGTCATGACTTTCATTTTTACAAAATCCCTTCAAAACTTTATAAGTTATTGCAAAAACATTTGACATATTTTTGCTTGGGTCAAGTCTTGGATTTTACACTTCACCTTGCAATCATCACAATTATAAAGGAAGGAAGATGTGTCTGGAAGTAAGAAATCCTTCAATCGGAAAATAATCTGTTTATTGATTTGATATTTTAGATTTGACAGAGAAAATGCAATCAGACATTACAGGATGTGTTTTAGATAATTAAGTCGATAAACATAACTTAAAAAACTCTGATTACAGTTAGACTCAGTCTCTCTAGTTTGATTAGAGTCTGCTTTGAAGGATGTGTCTAAAGAAACTATTAATCCATTAATCCATAAACAAAACAAAAATAATTTGGCAAAGCAAAACAAACCTTATAGACCGGGTGCTTTTCTGCAAAAGGTCTCTCTGTAAAATGTGGTAGGCGTTTAGTGTTAAAAGTGTTCTGACAAGTGTTTCTTATGTAACTTTTTATGCTGAATCCAAAAAACCATGTTGGCAAGCTGAAATATGATTATTTAACCCTTAAAATACCATGTTAGTCCCCCTACCCCCAAAATTCACCCCTATCAGGGGAAAAAAATTCTTCAACCTAAAATAACTTTGATTTTATGGTTTTTGTAAGTGAAATACATGGACATTGTATAAAATAAACATTTGAAGTATGAATGATACGGATTACACTTAAGAAATTTGAATAAAAGCAAAAAGTATGTACCCCAGGGGGCAAATTTATGACCCATTTTTTACTTTTCGTGTCATAACTTTTTTATTAGACAATGATGGATGCTAAAAAAATCCATGTAAAAGGCATAATACCTGGTCTACTAATCCTGCAAGAATCAAAGTAATTCCTTTGATAATTGCCTTGAAAAAAATTAGTGAATTTAAGAAAAAATGACATTTTAGCTGGGACTGATTTTATGTGTGACTATAACTGACCCCTATTGCTTTAACATTTATCCCTCTGTGTTCATAAATTTAGCATTTTAGAATAAATCTAAAATATAAAACTTATTTTAGCAAAGTTTTAGGAAGATTTTAGCTTTTTATCATGTTCAACTATTAAAAATTCATGAAAAATGATGTCTAAAATTGATAAGTTATACGTATACCCTTGGAAGACCCTTATAATTTCTTATTTATGAACATATTTGTACCAATTTTAGTTTTCTAGCTTAGAGAAATGATGTATGATATATCCTGGCTTGGCTTTCTGGTGGTTTGAACAATCTTTTAAGTGTTATCATTGAAAATTCATTCTTAAATCACAGGTCTGCAATCGATTAAATTCATGTATACCATTAGTATCATTCTACTGGTATGAGCATAAATGAACTAACTATGATTTCATAGATTAGTTGTTTGGTGCATGACATATTCCAAGCTGACTTTCTGGTGATTTTAACCATCTAAGAGGCTTAA